GTAACGTTATAATCAACAGTCAAAAATATTTTGCAGTTTCGGTTGATTCACGCAACGGTTGTATTTTAGCAATAGTAATAAGTATTCAAACTCTAAAGACCACTCTCTTCCAATGTAGAACAAAACGAAACAGTCTATGATACAGTCCAAGTTTATTTTACACATATTCAATTCGATGCTTTGTCTATTGATACATCCACTAATTAGACTAACTACTAGATGATAAGAGAAAATTAATTTAAATCTTGATGTTCTATTTGCACATACTGTAGTGAATTTTTGATTTGAAATAAACAGTTGACATGAATCTAGTTCCTAGAGAAATGAATCTGATACGCACTAATGTCTAATACATTTCCCACATTAGTATATGTGAAATACCCACTATAGGATACTGCTGCTATCTTTGACTAAATACTAAGAATAACAAGAATGTAATAATAATATATTTTCCTTTTTTCTACATGGGAATCTTCCCTTATATAATATGTATATTTATTATCTCCGATATATGCGTCATGCTGTCAAGTGGGGGTATAAAAAGGAATCGGCTATTCGTAGAATTATACAATATTTAATCTGGTTGATATATACATATAAATGCTTCCATTTAATTGTCTCGTGTTTGCAACTATACTAATTTATAGGTTACAAACCATAGGTGAGTATCCTATTTTATATCTCGTACATGAAAGAAACAAAATACATTTTCATTGAAGTTGAAATAGATTCAGCAAAAATATTCACTTGTTTGATAGTACTAGACTACGAAGACTATATGCCAAATTGTATTTTTTTTTGTTCTGTACAGAATGTTGGGTACCTTCATCAACCCATTCTTATTATGGATCGTATCCTGGACAGTTCACCAAAGATGCCTATTTCAAATTATCACGAACATATAATGATGTCGTTGCTATTACTCTCCAGTGCATTTCAAATGGAAACATATATCGATCAGACACTGCCTTTTATGCTGATACACATTTTACCTTTAAACAAGCAGATGGAACGATAAGTGGAACATTTCATCATGTATACACTTCGGAACATGTTTCAAATGGTACTTGGAAGGCAGATGGTAACAAAGGAATTCAACTTTCATCTGTGAACGTTATATCTCATTGGAATTCGATTCTTTGTGATGTTATAACATTAACAACAGGTAAATCTTTTGTCAGTGAATTTTGATATGCCAGAAGATCATTTCGAAGAACAGCTTTTTGCATAACTATTTTGAAAAAATTCGTTAACAGAAGTTGAAATTAAACCCATTCTATTTGTACTAATGCCTCGTTGTTTCAATGAATACAAGACATCAATTTCAGTGAAATACGCTTTCAAGGATTCTATTCAATTCCTATTGTTCGTTTATTATTGTAATTGTATTGAATGAAGTATATATTGGAATGTTTAGATTCAACATTTATACAACATAATNAGCTTCATTTACCAAATTTCTAAAATATGTTTTAATTATTTTTCTGTGCTCTGTATCTTGTGCGAGCGAAAGAATTACATTTGGTCGATTAAATGGAAGAGTAACTTGTCGTTTGTACATAATTTCCAATAGCTGTTGTCTTGTTGTTGAATGCATTGATATATAGAATTAAATGACCAGTTGATTCTTCTTCGATGGAGTAATTAGAAGAAGACCGGTCACGGCACCAAAATGTTAGCTCGTTTTTACGAGCTTAACGTAGTTTATTTAATTCATATGTTAAGTCTCTTCAAAAATGTCCTTAAAATCACTAGGTATATATATATATATCCATAGAGAGGAGAAGAAGAACAAGAGAAAAAGAAGGAGAAACAACAATAACAATAACAATACAGTAGAAAGAAGAAGGGAGAGAGAAAGAGATAAAGAATCGAGGGTAGATAGAATGCGAGCTACCGTTAACAGAATGCTTGTCATATTTTCAGTAATCACCGAGTTCAACGAAACTCAATTGATTACAATAGTTCATATTATAGCATAAAGTATCCCAACTAATGTAATGCTTTCTTCTCGGTTCATGACTTTCTCTAGAGGCTAATAGATAGTTCTCACGTGTTCGATTGTGCAACATCACATAGATATCACCTTTTTTAAATACAACGTCAACATTACGATATATAAAATAATATCCTCCATATTAACTAATGCTATTCTTATCGTTTCTCTAATGATATGGCAAATTTTAATGTTATCTTTGCGACGTTGTATGATTACGCAAAACTTATAGCCCATATATAAATACACACAATTTCTTCATTTCTAACAAATTATTTTTCTTCAACAAACAACAATAACAATGAAAGCAGTCATCGTTCTCTGTATCCTCGTCGTAAGTGCTTATTGTGCACCTATGCTCGATGAACAACTCAACAATCAATGGACTTTATTCAAACGTGTCTATGGAAAACAATACAATTCAATTGAAGAAGAAGCTACTCGGTATGTACAATAATATTTCAACTTCTTTCTCATCGATAAATTCTATTCTTTATTTTCTATTTTTACAGTCGAAACATTTGGGAAGCTAATGTTGCTAAAATCCAAAAACATAATCTTGAAGCTGATTTAGACATGCATACTTACACGTTAGGAATGAATCGATTTGGTGATATGGTAAGTTTTTCATCTTTTTTTTTTCACTTTCAAACAATACAACTTACCCTATTTATCTATATAGACTCATGAAGAATTCATAAAACAAATGAATGGATTGAAAATGACAGTTGATCCTGAATCGAACAACTTCTATCATCATACATTCTTAGCTCCATCTAATGTTGCTATTCCAGATGCTGTTGGTATGAATTTCTTATTTTGATTTTTCTTTCGAATATATAAATAATAATGATGAAATGTTTGTATGCAGATTGGCGTAAAGAAGGTTATGTAACACCAGTGAAAGATCAAGGACAATGTGGATCATGTTGGGCTTTCTCATCTACTGGTTCACTCGAAGGTCAACATTTTGCTAAAACAAAACAACTTGTTTCAATTTCTGAACAAAATTTGGTTGATTGCTCAGGCAAATTTGGTAACATGGGTTGTGATGGTGGTTGGATGAATACGTCTTTTCAATATATCAAAGCTAATAAAGGTATTGATACAGAAAAAAGCTATCCATATGAAGCTCTTGATGGTGAATGCCGATTCAAAAAAGCCAATGTTGGTGCTACTGTTACAGTAAGTCTAATCATTGTGTAAAAGGGTAACTAAATTAGACTATAAATATTTCTTTTTCTAGGGTTTTGTTAACATAAAACCTAAAAATGAAACAGATCTTCAAGTTGCTATTGCTACAATTGGTCCAATTTCAGTTGCTATTGATGCATCACAAGGTTCATTTCAATTCTATTCATCAGGAGTTTATAATGAACCAGATTGTTCAACAACAGAACTTGATCATGCCGTTTTAGCTGTTGGTTATGATACAACTGCTAAAAAACAACAGTATTATATTATCAAAAACTCATGGGGAACATCATGGGGACAAAAAGGTTATATCTGGATGAGTCGTAACAAGAAAAATCAATGTGGTATTGCTACCGCGGCTTGCTATCCTCTTGTTTAAATCAACAATTATCAACAGATAGAAAAAGAACTAATTGCACATTTTCTAAAATATAATTTTTAACATTTTTTCAATGTTGTCAGACTGAAAATATATCATGAAAATAGATTGAAATATAAATAAAACAGGTTCATTTCATTGAAAATAGAAGTGACGTAAGAGGTGAACTGTTGGAAACCATACAGAGAAATAAGGCATGAATGATTATTTAGATGAGTTTGGTAGAAAAAAAAATTTAAATAACTAGAAAAGAATGAAACAAATGAAATTAAGTTTTGTATGGTAGCTGTTCTGCAATATTGAATGCATATAGTAGTGATATCGTGGTGAATAACGATTGTGGATACAGTGTTGTGTGCTTTGTGCGACAGAATAGCTTTCAAAAACGTAGTACGATAAAGAGGAATAATGAACAAGGTCCTTCCCTATGTTTTGGAGAAGACAAATTGTAATTTTAGTTGAGATTGTTCAATTCTGTCAAATAATCTTTAAAAATAAGATCATCTATTCGGTTCGAAATAGTATATTTTTATACATGATAAGGACCTGCTAATAGAAAATAATATTAGTAGAGTGTGGGAACTTACGACTAAATCAGATAAAGGAATTCAGATTTTTGAATAACGACGCTGAGAAATGAAAGAAAAAAAGACATCTGTTGATGTCACTGGTTTTTGTTTTTGATAACTCAAGTCAGCATAACACTTCTGTTACCATTATTGTGATAGGAATTCCTGAAATTTCGACAATATGGACACTTTCTAGTGGAAGTTTGATAATATAATACATGTTTTTTTTATGGTTGAAATTTGAGTTTATCTGTGATAGATTCGCATTGATCGTCGAATGAATAAATTTTATGAGAAATGAAACGAATGAAAGAAGACGATCAAAAAATAAAGGAGATTGTTGTTACAATGGGCCCCTTGATGATATATAATGCTGACCCAAAGTCCGATCTGCTTCATATATGTTGTCTTTCGACATACGAAACTTTTCGACTGACACTAATTGCTTATAGACGTTCGAAGAGCCAGTGAATGTCGACAATAATTCGACTTTTGTCAGTTATAATTCCATAGATAGAGTTAAGTAAGTCAGGACTTTTTCAAACGATAAATCAAGTCAAGTCGACAGATGATTATTTTGCTTAGATTTCTCGATCGTATTTATTATCTCAATTTTTACTATTAGGGACAACATATTCCTGTTATTCAAACAATTGAAAATAGAAAAGATACTTTTTTCTAGTTTCTATTTAACAATTGGAAGTATTCCGCACTTTCATATTCATCTATCTTCGTATTTATTGATTTAATCGTGTTCGGTTTATCCTAAAATGGAACATAATATATTAGAAAATAAAATAATTAATGATTTACTTTATCAGTACAATATCGTACACCAATCATTATCTGACCAAAAACATGATCATGTTTTTTTTAGAGCATGTTGAGCTTGAAGATGAGCTTCAAATTTTATATGAAATATATTCGATTCATCGACAATCTGAATGAATAACCAATAAATAAAACAGATATCAATTAGTCATACCACATATTTTTCTATCACTCCAAAGCGACTAAAATCATCGATCAAGATTTGAGCATCAGCATTCGCACGAAAACCAAATACAGTCAACCACGTATCATCATTTCCACTTTCATTAGTAAGACTAAATATTAAACAATAAAAAAGGGTGTGGGTGTGGGTGTGGGTGTGGCTATCGAGAAGACTACACCCACCCCAACACCAACACGCACACCCACATCCACCCACACCCACACCAACACCCACACCCTCCTGGGTCGCGCGCACGCTAATAGTGCTATTCAATAGTATCCAAAAAAATTCTTTATTTCACTGGGAAGAATCAAAATGTGATTCGCTTGTCTTGTCTGTTCAACTGTTCCTTCAAAAAGTACGAACAGTCATTATAACACACAGTTAATATTTGTAGTGTCTAAACGATAGTAAAAGGAAAAATCTCGTTAGTCCTCACACAGCGAGAGAAACGACAAATATCTCACCTTGTTCTCTCTCAGAGCATTGGCGAGATATTGTGCGCCTTGATCTCCGATATGATTAGTTCTAAGGTTGAGTGTCGTGAGTGTCTGTGTGAAAAGTGGAGATGATTAAGAAAGAGATGAGCAGAGAATCGTGCTCACCTTGTTCTCTCTGAGAGCATTGGCGAAATGTTGTGCACCTTGAGCCCTGATTTCATTGTAGCTCAAGTCGAGTGTGGTGAGTGTCTATGTGAAAAGTACAGAGGGTCAAGAAAGAGATGATTCGAGAATCGTGCTCACCTTGTTCTCTCTGAGAGCATTGGAGATATGTTCTGCGCCGTGATCTCGGATTTGATTAGTTTCAAGGTAGAGTGTGGTGAGTGCCTGTGAGAAAAGTGCAGAGCATCAAGAGAGAGATGAGTCGGGAATCGGGCTCACCTTGTTCTCTCTGAGAGCAGTGGCAAGATGTTGTGCACCTTCATTACCTATTTTATTGTCGCACAGGTAGAGTGAGGTGAGTGTCTGTGTGAAAAGTGCAGATGATCAAGAAAGAGATGAGCAGAGAATCGTGCTTACCTTGTTCTCTCTGAGAGCATTGGCGAGATGTTGTGCACCTTGAGCCCCGATTCGATTGTAGTTCAAGTTGAGTGTGGTGAGTGTCTGTGTGAAAAGTGCAGATTACCAAGAGAGAGAGAGAGAGAGAAGTTGAGAATCATGCTCACCATGTTCTCTCTGAGAGCATTGGCGAAATGTTGTACCCCTTGAGCCCTGATTTCATTGTAGCTCAAGTCGAGTGTGGTGAGTGTCTATGTGAAAAGTACAGAGGGTCAAGGAAGAGATGATTCGAGAATCGTGCTCACCTTGTTCTCCCTGAGAGCATTGGAGATATGTTCTGCGCCTTGAGCCCCGATTCGATTGCTGCTCAAGTTGAGTGTGGTGAGTGCCTGTGTGAAAAGTGCAGATGATTGAGAGTGAGATGATTCGAGAGTCGTGCTCACCTTGTTCTCTCTGAGAGCATTGGCGAGATGTTGTGCGCATTCATCTCCGATTTTAGCGTCCCAAAGGGAGAGTGAGGTGAGTGCCTGTGTGAATAGTACCGATGATCAAGAGAGAGCTGAGCCGAGAATCGTGCTCACCTTGTCCTCTCTGAGAGCAGTGGCGAGATGTTGTGCGCCTTGTCCTCGAATACTACTGTAGCGAAGGTCGAGTGTGGTGATTGCCTATGCATAGTTGGAGAAAGAATGCTGCAGTGTTGTAGCATATTCGTGTAGCCTAATGCAACTGTGAACGAACATACCACATATTCCTCTTCACTGAAGTCCTCGTGGAGTGGCCGTTGCGTAAGACAGAAGGTACCATTTCTTGTTGATTGTTCCCATCTTATTGGACTGTAGAAATCTATCATCACGATTGGGGTGGTATAGAGAAATATTGAGTTTTCTTGTGGGATGTATGCACAGTTGACAAAGCAGTGTTTGTTCTCTATCCAAAAGGGCGTTTGAAACTGTTGAAGTAATGCTTCTCTTGGGGGAATGTTAATGTTTTCAGCCGTGGTGCTGAAGAAGAACTCAAATTTCACTAGTGATGGTAGTCGTGTTCGAAGAAACTGTTCCCAATAGAAGCCATCGAACAGTGTGTCGAAGTTTCTCTTACTTCTGCTGAGTAGTTTCAAATGTAGGATGGAAGGTGTTACTAAAACGATCCACTCGAGTTGCTGTGGAGAAAGAGTGCAATCGGATATTGTTAATGATTTCAATTTTAAATGGAGTATCACCGTGGATTTTGAATCAATCGTTTCATCGTCGGCGTGTGTGGTACAGTTTTTCATTTGAAATATTCGTAAATATGGTAATTGAAGCAGTATGGTGACATAATCGCTCATCATGCAGTCACCAATTTCTAGGCATTGGAGTCGGTTACCATCTGGCCATGTAATTCTTTCTGAACTGTACTGCCAGTTGGTCAATCGCAGTCGACGGATATAATACTTGTCAATTATTATTGAAATAAGAGGTAATATGTCAACTTCATTGGACCATATATCGTCGTTACAACTATGATCGATTGACAGTGAGATCAGTAAAGAGGATGTTATTTGTTGGAAAAAGTGTTCCAACGCTTGATGACTTATATTGAAGAAGGTTAACGAACGAATGCGACTGAATTGGCTAATGTCCAAAGTGGATTTCAATACGTTCTGTGTATTCGCATTTACATTCTTCATCAGCGTAACCCGCTCCGGATGAACAAACCGATGGATGGCTCGAAGATCCGTTTCTGAGTTTGAGTGGAAGTCGAGTTCAAATCGATGGTAAGAATTGACCAAGCGAAATAGGTCCTTACTGACTGGGCGAATTAAGTGAAGCAATGTTTTGATGTCACAATTATCGAAGATACGGTGAATCAATTCGTTAGGCAATTGAAGTAGATTTGCTTCTGTCATGTTTATAACTGATATCAATGTACTCGAGTCCGCTTTTATTCGGTAGGAAAAAATACGTTAATATCTACAAGAAATCTTAATTGACTCTATATACGTGGTTCACTTTTGCTTTTCGGCAATATCACTAGTCATGCACAGTTATACATAGGGGTATCCGAAAGTAGTGGCAACGACATTTTAGTACCACATATTACGCTTGATAAAAGGTTCTTTTTACATAGGATGATAGAGAAAAAAATGCTCTTTCTTTCTATGCTATTTGATCCTACTTCACCTAATGTTATAGGAATAAAGTTTCCATGCGAGCTGTTTTTCTAACATATGTGACGGTTATACTATGTGGTTCGAATAACTTTTTATAGGAACAAGATAGAGAGCTGCGGTTTTCATCGTTCAAAAGCGGAGGTGAAAATGCATCGGACTGCATATTATACGTTTTCCTAGGCATTATTTGAAGCTTTGTCAATCAATTTTCTAAGTATCGAAAAAAATGTTTTTTTATTTCTTCACAGAAATTGCTAGAAAAATCACGTAGAGCTTTGACTGGATCAGCCATAACTCCAGAATGTTGAATCTAAAATGCCTGATCCTTCTGCATTTGTGTAGATCTTCCAGCACTGGTTTGAATACACTGCTGACAATTGAGAATTTGCTGTAACCACCTTATAGAGTAGGTTTCTTCTTAGAGAGGTCGATTGAAAACTCTTAAAAGTCATGTCAGCAAACCTTTAATATACGATTCGATGCATCTCCGTTTCCTCTCTCGAATGATAAAAACCGCAGCTTTCTATCTTGTTTCTATGAAAATTTATCCAAAAAACATCCACTGGATACGCATTTGTATAACCGTCACATATGAAAGAAAAACAGGTCTTATTGAAACTTTATTCCTATAACATTAGGTGAAGTATGATCATATAGCATAGAAAGAAAGAGCATTTTTTTCTCTATCATCCTATGTAAAAAGAAACTTTTATCACGCTTAATATGTGGTACTAAAATGTTGTTGCCACTACTTTTGGATACCCCTATGTATTTTCGAACAAAGCAGACTTACTGTTTGAGGGATTGAAATGTCGACTAATATTCCGCCACACAAGAAAAAGACGTTGCTTACGAAAAATTGAAGCTACACTGTAAAAAATAGGCCAGAATAATAAACCCTTCAAAAAGGTTTATTAGTCTCATAAAACCTATCATATACCCATTTTTAGGTTTATTAGTATCGTAAACCCTTTCATAAACTCTTTTTGTTCATATACCCTACGAAGGGTATCTTATACGTTGCACTTTTATAAACTCTGTAGGGTATATGAGGAGTTACATACCCTTAAAAGTGTCTATTAACATCACAAACCTTTCGAAAAAGCGTTTATTAATGTACCCTTGACAAGAAATCGCAGAATAAAAAATGCTTTTCTGAAGGGTTTATGAAGTTAATAGACACTTTTAAGAGTATATTACTGCTCATATACCCTAAAGGGTTTATAAAAGTGCAGCGTATAACATATCCTTCGTAGGGTATATGAATGAAAAGAGTTTATGAAAGGGTTTACGATACTAATTAACCCAAAAAAGGGTATACGATAGGTTTTAGGAGATCAATAAACTTTATTGAAGGGTTTATTATTCTGCGCCTATTTTTTACAGTGTACACATGAATGTGCTTGCGTTTGAATCGTTCAAACATGACGATGCCCCTTGTATGCATGGCTTCTAGACCAGCCAGAGACAGTTGTTGTGCAGTGACGTGCATTTATCTGTGGCTTCCATTCTGGATGCATGAAACGAAATAGGCAACAAATACTGTGTTTCTGTGAAATAACCTGGATAAAGATTGCCATTTTCACCATTCATTATTCAACTCTAATCTTTCTCTTATTCGACCGGAGTATGTGATGCATTTCATTGAAAATATCTCTTGCATACGACACATAAGTGACAATGCACATTCAAACAAAATTTCCATCTTCAAATAAAAGCACTCAAAACAGTCACTACTGTCACTTTCTTGATTCCATCGGCTTCTCCTATATTTCTCTTTTTTCAAATCGTTTGTGTCTTCTACTGTAGTTTTGCAGACATTCAGTCATTTACGTTCGTAAGTATGTGGTTGAGGAGTAGCAAGTAGGTGGATATCGGCACAACCACGGATCAGTACTTTCGTATGAGGAAGGTTTAAAATTGAAAACCGAGAGAAACCGTCCCGAAAATCGGAAGTGTGCTATCAACAGATTATCAAACTTGTTGCAAACTATAAGAGGAGTGATATAAACTCTGATTTTTCTCCGACACATGTTGAAATAAAAATCTGTCGAGGAATTTCATCTAAAAGGTACAGTTGTTTGACGTTTTTACATTGAATTTTTGTCTGAAAAATAGTCGGAAGTTTTTATGAGATTTTATTGTAAGAACAAAACTAACTCACTGTAAAGATAAGACTGTTTTTATGGTATTCATGTATCAGAAAAAAGACCAGTTTTATCTTTACAGTTTGAAATGGTAAGTAACGAAACCCTGCTCTGTATAAATTAACGAAAATATGAAATTCCGCAACAAAATGAAATTCTGTAACGAGCGATATTTTAAGCTTTTCTATTTGATGATGCAAAAGCGGTTCATAAACAACCTGATATTCTAACAGGTTGTTTGAAGCTCAGCAACTTTTGAATGCAACCTTCATTTGAGTTCTTTATTCTTTCGTATAAAAATGATTTACTCCTAGTCACTCTAAAAAAACATCAAAAGTTTTTGAAATTTCGTAACGCTTGGCTGTGCCGATATGAAAGTTAAAACGTTAATCCAGACCCTTGGATTCAACAAGTTCCTACGAGTCGAAAGTTGAATTCTACATGTAGTTTTGGTTCTCCAATAGGTTGGTGTGTGCGTCAAATGCATGTAGTAGGATGGCATTGGAGTGATCAAGATAAAATACGGTATAGAGGGGAATATGTCGTCTTAAAAGAACCTTGAGTCATAATCTGAAGTGACATGAGAAAAATCCCAGGAAATCAGATAATGTAGAACAGGATGCCTTCGCGATCAAGAAAAATGTGTCTTCTACGTGTAGGACGACAATATTGAAGAAGAAAATCGGTTAAAAATTAAAATATATGTTCAGTACGATTTATTTAGTATTGATATGTTTGAAACATAGTATTTGGAATCAATCAGCCATGAGCATGAAGAAAGAATACTACATCTTATTGCTTTACTTTAGTATGACGTTCAATAGCTTGGTATTTGGAAGTAAATATGACAAACAAGTGACAAATTCGTTTCTCTAAAAGGTTCATTTCGTCAGATCGATGCCATGAATGTGACGCGAAAACGAAATGCGACTATATGGTTCATGTTTCATCGAAGTCTTCTCGAATCGAATGATATAAATGTCAAGTTCATCCAAAAGTACTTTCAGGGTCGGAAAAAGATTGTCACGATCATTGCTAAGCATGCGTCAATGATATTTTAGATGAACTGCATATCGAACTGTCTTGTGTGTGATCGTGTAAGTAGGAATAGCATTTCAATAAGTGAAGGACAATGCCGCATTGTTACAGTGATGTAGCCAATACGTACTCGACCCATCTATATGTGCTATCCTCTATCATCTTCTTTGACCTTCACTTGTTTCCTCTTCTCTTCTCTTGTCCTTCTGGATATATATATACGTGTTACTTGATAGCTAAGGACATACTTTCTTGTTTAATAAACTCAGCCTACAAGTTGTACGTGCACGTATACGTCTCTCTCTCTAACACGCATCACGCACACTCTTGCGGTAAGAGTAAAAAAGGTGGAAGACTAGTGACTACCGATTGCGAAGGAAGACGTTGAGGGTGTGGGTGGATGTGGGTCTGGGTCTGGGTATAGGTATGGGTATGGGTGTGCGTGTGCGTAAAGGTGAGAGTGTGGG